GATTTATCTCTATTAGTTAATATATCCTTCTATATAAATATATATCTTATTGCTTCCTTACCCCATTAAACAATTTCTGAATGCGATCCGTGAGGAGTTTTTCCTTCTCCGGCGCGCCATCCACAAGAATCGGCTTCGGCGTCATCCAGTTCGGCTCGCCGACGATCACGACTTCGTTGGTCAAGCGAATGATCTTCTCCTCGTTATCCCAGCTAACATCTGGATAGACCCGCACCACGCGGCTGAAGGCATCGCAGGCGGCAATCGGCGTGGAAGGGTCCATGCACCCCATATGCTTCATCCGAAGCCCCTCCGCCTGTTTAAGCTGGGAGCTGGCGTGTTTAAAAATCGACTTATCCCGCCCCGCGTGCATGGAAGGGAGCTGGGCAAAGGGCCCCAGCTGGTTTGGCAGGTCGTGCTCCTTCGGGACGTTCGATTTGATGGTGTACTCGTGAATAAAAGGGATGCGCACCATCTTCATCGAGGTTTGGTCTTTGATGTTCTGAAGCAGCACCAAAATCCCCTCCTTGGGGAGGTAGGTGAAGACCGTCCCGCTGACCTTCGTGCCATTGACAAGGGTCACGTGCATGTAATAGCCGACTAAATCATCCTCATTGACTACGCTCATGATGATGAATGACAAATGCAAGCCCCAGACGTGGATCACTCAGAAACCCCAGGGGAAATAGAACGATTAATTAAGCAAATAAAGATAATACTATTTTTGTAATGCTAACACGGTAGTGGAATGAAAATAGTGATAAAAAAAAGAGTCGAACGGATTATCAAAAATGTTATCAAATTCAATCGCAGCAGATGTATCAAAATAGCTTTTACAGAAATATGGCTTTCTTTTTTTATGAGGGAAAATAAAGAGAGACTAACAAAGTAATTGTGAAAATTTATGAAAGAAGGAATTAACCAGTGACGCGAAGTACCGTACAGGTAAAAATTCATGGACACCAAAAATAAGATCCCTCATTACCTTAGTTTTGCAAAGTGTAATCCAATAAATTTGATCCTATGCAGAGTGTATGAATAACCATATAATAAGGGATAACATATTCATATTCATGATGTCGTGAATAAACGACGAACATACTTCGATACAAACAAAACGTCCAACAATATGTACACGAAATCAATAAGTCTTGAACGAGGGTGCATAATTCAAAAGAAAAAAACATCCCCATGGTAAGGCTTATGCATGATATAGAAAACGCATGCCTTTCTTGGCGTAGATGAACACATTTTTTGATTTCGCGTAGTTTAACAATTCCCTTCCCGGAAGGGTGTTTGTTCCCAAAAACAAGTGCGTTGATTTCTTTAACAGGGCAGTGTACAGTTCTTTAATTTGCCGATGGCGATCCCCTTCCGAAGGTTGAAGAGACCAGTCTTTTAAAAACTGTAAGGTTCCCGCCATATTATTCACATGTGCAGGGGAAAGTGAGTGATAATAGCTCACTAAGGCTGACGCTCCTGGAGCTTTTAAAATTCCATCAAACCATATTGTCGTGGGGACTTTATCCTGGTTCTCTGAGTTAAATTTACTACGTACTTCAAAGTCTGCCGCGCGAAAATTTAATTTATAATCTATCGGATCCACGCGGTGATCCATCGTAAAAGGGGATCCGGTGCTTGAACATATCGCACGTATTACGTTATAACCAGCGTTATTTCGTGCTCGTCGCGCGAGCAGCTGGTAAAGATTTCCTTCCTTATGTATAATCGTAAGATCATTCCATGAATCGATAAGAACGGGTTGGCCAGCGGGGTGGCCAGGAGGAATGATCCCACCAAATTGCTGCATTGCCATTTGTTGTTCAAGGGTAATCGCCTCGAAGACTAGCGACTTCGCCTCGTAGGCGTCAAATACGCGATTGTGAAGTTTCTGTTCCGTTATGTTGCCATTCATATCTCGCAGACGCACTACAAGGGTCTGCAGAGTGGTATTTAGCAATGACATTATGTGTACCTTTTCTTATTGACTAGTCTCTTAAACGATTTCTAACTTTCTTATGTTACTGCGCACATTGAGAGAAAGATAAAAAGTATCACTAAGAAGAATAGCACGGCATTACCTTGTTTGACCCTTATCATACATCGCTTTCAAACAAGCAATACAACGCTTTCCTATTTGCCAGGGGAGAGGGTAAGTAAATTATACAAGAAGTAAATGAAAACGTCCAAAGATATATACGCGTGTACATCTAAGAGAGAGATTACTTCTCTTTTTATTATACCAACAAAAAAAAATCAAATACAATGGAGTTTACCAATGATTTAAACCCCAACCATAAGAAACAAAGTTAAATAAACACAAACCTTTTTCTCTTAATACGCTTTTCCTCGTTAGGCGAATCGATAAGAAAAGATAAATTTGGAGGAGAAGGAGG